CCCCCCCCCCCCCAGTCACTGGGACCACAGAGCTGCACTCCAGGCCCGATCAGAATATCATACAGGCTGGCTCCAGTGCCAAGGATTCAGCAACATACACACAGCAGCCAGTGTGAGCTGGGCGTGGTGGCCCACGCCTTTAATCCCAGCACTCGGGGCAGGGGCAGGCAGATCTCTGTGAGTTCGGGGTCAGCCTGGTTTACAAAGTGAGTCCAGGACAGGCAGGACTTGTTACACAGAGAAACGCTGTCTCAGACAAATAAAAACCTAGGCGGCTGATACTACTGTGGTCTCCATTTTGCAGAAGTCACTGAGAGAACGGAGAGCTGAGGTGACTTAGCTCAAGGTCACGCTTGAGGTAAGAGGTACAGCTGGACTCCAAAGCAGGAAGCATGGCTCTGAAATCCTAGGTTCTTTTTTTTTCTTTTAAATATTAATTTATTTCTAGTTTATGTGTATGAGTACTTCGTTTAGTTGTGTGTCTATGGAACTGGAGTTATGGACAGCTGTAAGCTGCCACGGTGGTACCAGAAACCAGACCTGGGTTCTCTAGAAGAACAGTCAGTGCTCTTAACCTCCGAAACATTTATCCGGTCTTAAATCCCAGGCTCTTAACCTCCCAGATTTCCTGTGGCCCTTGCCAAGCAGGTGCCCATCACAGTTCTTCTTCCTGCCTTGCCTACCACTTGGTCACCTGCCACGAGTTCAGTAAGAGCCTGTTGCCCAAAGCACAGGTTTGCATTAAAGGCGAATGCTGGCCAGGGACAGTACTAATGCCGACAGGTCAGTGGGGCACAGAGGACCAGAGGGAGGGCAAGGCTCATCATGGCTGTCCTGGGTCCTGACTGAAATCTGGAGCAGGGAAAAACTTCTTGTACCCTTGAGGTGCTTCGGAGAAGTAACAGGTGATGCAAATGACAAGCACAGCATTTAGCACACAGGATACGAGAGAGCGCACCTAACACACCAGGATGACCAGGGAACTAACCATTCCTCCAGACAATTCCACCTACGGCGTCCTCCTTCTGTAGCTGAGTCTTTATCCTTTTCCCACAGCACGCTCTCAGAGAGCATGAGGTAGTGAGCTGAGCTGTGCCTCCAGAAGATAAGCCAACACCCCCAGCCCTACAGTCTGTGCTACGTCCTTTGGAAAGAGGCTATGCCAAAGTCACAAAGTTGTAGCTCTAGGATGAGATCAGCCTAGATTCTGTAAGTCAGCCCTCAGGCCAGTACTCAGCGTCCTTAGAAAAGATGGAAGAGGAGGCACACCCAGAGAGGGGGACTGAGCCACGAGCCAGGTGGCCTTGAAGAGGACAGAACACAGAAGACCTTCCCTTGTGCAAGGCCCATGGCCCTGCTCCTGCTTCACGTGGACTTTTGGTTGTCTTGCCCGGGAGGGAACAAACTCCTATTGTTTTAAGCCATCTAGTTTGTGGTGCACTGTATCGTGGCTGCAGAAAACTAATATGCATGCTAGTGGTCTGATTCCCTAAGCTTGGAAGTCTTGCAGCCCACAACCACTGATCTGAAATACTGCTGAATAGTCCCTCTCCAGACAAAGGGCCTGTATGTCACCATCGGTAGCTGGGAAACAACCGTGAGTACTGAAGCCCTTCCCCAGAGCCTGTCTCCCTCTGGCCCAGGTAAACTCCTCTTATGTAAGTTCGAAACCAAGCCCTGAGGCTGCCTACTCCCATCCAAGGCATGCTCTTTTCCCTGCCCATCACGCCAGCAGGCCCGCTTTGACTTTCTTGTGCCCTGTGGCATTTCTGTGCCTTGTCCATCTAGGCCTGCACCTGGCTGTTTTCTGTACTCCAAAGCTCTGTCTCACTCTGGTCAGTGGATTCAACTTGTCTATCTTCAAGGTCCTACTGGGCACCTCCTTTACAGGACACCGCCCCTGAACGTTAAGAATTTTCCATCTTTACATCTAGAAATGGTGGGGTAGGAACTTGATTTTAGATGTAAAGATTTTTTTAAAAACTCATCCCTTTCTAGTTTTAACTGTTTGGAGCAGGTGCTAAATGTTTTGAGCTTGTCAAAGTATTATCTGACTGGAAGGCCAGCTCCCTTGGGCAGGGCATTGGTGCTGAAGGAAACACTGAGAGAGAAGAACCTGCCCATGGCTCCCCAGGCATGAGCTCAGTTCTCAGCAGAATTGGACTCACAGCTTCTCCCTCGGATGACAGCTATGAGTGCTGACTCAGAAGGGCTTTCTGAATCCAACCAGAGGGAAATCACAAGAAGAGTGTTAAAGAGGCATTCTTTCTACCATTGAGCTGTCTTTTACAGCGCAGTAATGGGATTCAGGATTAAAACCTGAAAGTGGGGGGGATAAAAATAGAAGCAATCTCAGATGCCATTGCCCATTCAAAGCCTGATGATAGGAAAGAATACGGCAGACAAGCGGGTGAACAGGCGCCAAGCGGCAGCGGAGTGGCTAAAGGCTTTTCTGCAGCTTCTACAGCATAACCTGTACAATTCCAACAGCCAGCACTAGGCCAACAGCACAGGGCCTGGGGAAGGACCTCCAGGCCTTCCACACACACCAGGCAAGTGTTCTACAGCCTGGTAGAGGGGTGTAATAGTCACCCCGCTTTTAGACTTGGTTACACTGAGGTTTGGAGAGGTGAATGATTTCCCCCATTCTGCAGCTCAGTGTTGGTCTAGAAAGCTGGCCGTGACTATGGCCTGTGATGCCAAGGTGTGTTCTCAGTGGTGTTTTGTTTTGTTGTTTGTTTGTTTTTTAATATGACTGTCCATTCGGGCAGTTTTGCCAGATATAAGGCAAGTGAGGGTGCAGTTTAATCTAGGTAGGCCCCACAGGCCCCAGCTCTGTCTCTGAGCACTGTGTCAAGGTCAATATAGGCCTAGAAAGGGATCACCTACTTCCAGGCCTTTTTATCTTTTTCCCCCCCACAGATGATAAAACTAATAGCTACACATATAGAAAGGATGGCTACCTGGATAGTCAGAAGCGAGCAACCATTGGTAAGGCTGTGTCTGCCTGCCTTTTGGCTTTCTAAAGGATAGAGTAGTCAGGACACAGCGGCGTTCTCGGGATGAGGCACACATAATGATGTCACTCCCACAGGCTACTATGTACCGTGCCCTCTGGTTCTACAATGCATTTACTGAGATTCTATTTAAGTCTGGTATCCTGTTGGGAGCGGGAGGAATAAAAAAAGGAGAGGGAGTGAGGAAGAGAAGAAACTTGGAACACGGTGGCCGAGTTCTAAAGTGGTCATTGGCACGCCAGGGACTCCCGGCTTCACTCCACAGCCATTCATGAGAGCCTCCAAGATGGCAGATGATACTCAGGCTGCAGAGCAACGGCTCTAGTTGGCATACGAGACTCATCTCTACTATCTTGTTCCTCCAACCCCCCACTGCCCATCTGTCTGGTTCAACTACTCCAATTTAACTCCCCGTGCCTGGTGTACACAAGAACAGCCTAAATGGTTTAACGGGAGGAGGAGGAGTCAAAAGAACCCAACACCTTCCATTAAAGAATACCGACCCGAATAAACACTAGCCAGGGAAGCAAAAGCAGCAAAACACTGAGCATTTCCCTGGGCCCTGATTAGCTAGAACAGAGTCCACCCAGCCCCTGCCCGGGAGCCTCAGGGAGGCTGCTATGGAGAAGGCCCACTGTCTGTCGGAAGATGCCAATTCACCGATCTTGACATCCTCAGCTGGTTAAGGATGTGATCACACGCCCTGGATGCCCCATTCAGGCTACAGTGTCTTTGTCCCTTCCTCACGTTTTTATCTCCCTCCCCTCCTCCCGAGCCCCCCACTTCGTGTGTGTGCATACGTGTGTGTGTATGTGTGTGTGTATGTGTGTGTGTGTGTTGGGATGGAGAGTACATAGCACATGTTTTCCTATGTTTTGGGGCCCATGTCCCTTCCATTCAACCCACGTGATGTCTCTGAACTTCCTTTCAACCCAAGTACAGAGCTCTTGTTATGCTTTAAACACTCAACGTCAATTCCTTTGCTCCTCCCAAGAATCCCCTGAGCAGCTTCTTCCTTCTCTCCCTTTTCACCAGATGAAGCAACGAGCTCACAAAGAAGTTAGGTGACTCGTTGGGTCCACAAGGCTAGTAGGGAATTGCCTGGGATTTGAATCTAGATATCGTATTTCCAGGACATCAATCTTAGCCACTCCGATATCATTTTCAAATGCTCGTAGGGTTCCTCTCCAGGTCAGCGCTAGCTGGAGGACACTTCTCACCTTCAGAGGCTGTGTGCACGTTGGAAGGAAAAACATGGA